AAGGCCCATCCATCAACCCCGCACCAGCTGGCTCTTAACCCATTTATCTGGTTTAGCCCGAAATGGTGCCTGTGCACCAGTTAGGTTTGGCAGTTTGCAATGGTTGTGACCGTTGTGATATTTCCCTCCATGCACCAGGCTTAAATTGCTACCGAGTTGTCCCCCCTATTGTGAACGCATTCTGTTGACCTCCCACTGCACACACACAAGCTTCTGGACCCAGCTTACCTGCTCCACCTCCGAAATTGGCTATACTGAAATTTAGTTAGGTAACTACTCAGTGTTTATGTTATTAGGCACACACAGGGAGTACTCAGTTGAGCTCTGCTCTGTGCCTTGAACACTCTTCCTTTTTTTATACTTTTTTTTTTTTACTTCTGTGCATAATTACATCTTTAAAATTTGCTTAGTTTCCCCATACTCTTCCCCAATGAGGAAATCTCTCAGATACATTCAGACATGTTAGTAGTCTACTGGTATTCTCTCTGGAGTCTGCCCTACTTGCTTTCTAGGTCCTGCCTCATGGCAATCATCTTGGCATCTCACTTTGCCTTCACCCTGAGGAACTCCTTCAACTTTCCTGTTTTCCATCACCTATTTCCTGAATCCAATGCCTTTCCTACTCTTTTTAAATGTTGTTGTTTTGTTTTGTTCAAACAGAGCTCACCACATTGCCACTAACTTACTGAGAAACAATATATGGGCAGTATATTTTCTGAGACCTGCATATCTGAAAATCTCTCCTTCTGCCTTTATACTTCTTGGATAGTTTGGCTAGATATAGAATTCTGTAATCGGATATAATTTTCCCTCCATGTTTCAAAAACATTGCTTCATTATGTCCTAGCTTCTTGTGTTAATGCTGAAAGACGCACCGCCATTCTGGTTCTTCATCTTTGGGCATGAGGCTTCTCACGTGCTTTGGTGTGAGCCTGTTTTTCATCTCTTTGTTCTGGATACTCTTGGGCTCTTTCATTCTGCAAACTGATGTCCTTCAGTTCTTGAAAGATGATCTTGAATTAATTTAGCGATAGTCTCTTACCCTCAGTTTTCTTTGTTCGCTCTTTCTAGCATTACTATTATTTTGAATTGGATCTCCTCTAGTTTTCTTAACTCCTTGTTCCCTTTTTCTGTCTCTCCCTTTTTCTCCTTTCTGATAAATTTGATCAACTTTCATCTTCCCTTTTTTGTGGGGGAGAACCTTTGAATGTTCCTTTTTTATTGTGTTCCATTTTTTTGTGGTTGTAATGTTTCCTCATATCTCTAAGGATATTAATGATATTTTTGACCTTTTTTTTTTCCCCGATGGCATATTCTATTTTCAGTAAGTTACTTTTTTCTGCTTCATATTAAGATTTTCCTTAAATGTCTAGCAATCTTGACTGTTTGATCAGATTTAGCAGGATTACAGGGTGTTAGAAGCTGATTGATGCTCTGGGTGCACCTGTAAGGAGATCTGGCTGGGAGGTTTCCTTGGGGAAGCCCCATGTCAGAAACTTTAAATCTTTTCCCTTATCCTGGTTACATACTCCAGAGGAGACTCTTCCAGCCTCCTGCCTGGAGGGTGTTTTTCAAACGCCGAAGTTCTTAAGATGAGGAGAGAAAGGTGGCTGAGGGTCTTAATGTTCTTTGTGTAAGTTCTCCTTGCAGAAGAACCCACGTCTCATCTCTGACTAACGTCTGAACCCAGAAACCCTTTATTTTGTGATATTCTAGACCCTCTTTTTTTTTTTTTTTTTTAAAGTAGGCTCCACACCCGATGTGGAGCCCAACGTGGGGCCCAAACTCACGACCCTGAGATCAAGAGTCAGACGCCCAACTAAGTGAGCCACCCAGGCACCACTTCTAGTCCCTCTTAAACAGGCCTCACCTTTGTCCCCGCATCCAGTGGTACCTGGTGTCACTGACTCCTGAGCCTTCTGCTTTCCACAGTGTCAATCAGGTTACAGCTTGGCTTTCCCTACTGTTGGCTTCAGACCCAGCCTTATTGGGCTGCCAAGTCAGTTCCAACTCATAGCTGTGCCCCCCAAATCTTCTTGCTGTTATTTCCTCTCCCTTTCTCTTTGTTCTTGTATGTATATGGCTTTTTAAAAGTCATTTTGGTGGGGTACAGGGTGGGAGAAAATTTATCTGCATATATTCAGTTCGACATCTTTAACCAGAAATCTCTTCTTGTTTCATTTGCCTTAGGCTGGCTTTTGTGTGGTTATGATTCAGTGAGAATATCGGTAAATTTGTTTTTAAGGGACTTGTGAACTTAGATGGGTCCAAAAAGACTTCCTTTCTCTGCCGAATCCTTATAAAGGGACACACACTCATGTAACACACATGCATGTATGTACATACACACACACACAGATTTTAAAAAATATTTCTGTGTATTACTGTTACGTAAAAAGAGGCAGTGTTTTTCAGTGTTTGGGATGATTTATGCCCACCTTTTACCTCTGCATGAATTCATATCTTAAATCACATCTAGCCAATTTTAGGATGAGAGCTAAACCCAAAAAGGTTAATATATAATATAGCAAATACAGAGAGATTTTGAAACCCCCGATCCTTTATCCAAATTTTGGACAGTGTTCTTTTTAGTGCTTCTGCAATTGTTATTCCTCTTGAACCCAAAGAGAAAGTAACTTTTCCATATTCTGTATTTTTCAGAGTTTCCTATTTTGAAAAGAAAGCCAGTGATCGTTCTGAGGTTGAGACCCAGACAGAGGGGAGCACAGAAAAAGAGAAAGAAGAGGAAAAAGGCCCAGAAACTGTGGGTACTCAGGTTCTAAGGCTGCTATCACACCCCCAGTGGACCTAAGAGTCATATCTGAAGTCAAGTCTTGTGCTGTGTTATTAGCTTTAGAAATAGAAATAATTTTAATGTTGCATATATTCTGTTTCTCTCGTATTTCCTTGTCCTGATTTGAATTTCACCCATAGTAAATTGTAGCGAGATGTGTTCCTATCCCATTGATTCTAAGGAATCACACTTCTATCTCTTCTTTTTTTTTTTTTTTTAAGATTTATTTATTTTAGTGAGGGAGGGGGAGAGGGGCTAAGGGAGAGTGAGAGGAACAGTCTCAAGCAGCCTCCACCCTGAGCAGGGAGCCCAATGCGGGGCTCGATCTCACAATCCTGAGATCAGGATCTGAGCTGAAACCAAGAGTAGGACATGTAATCAACTGCACCACCCAGGCGCCCCTGAAGCAGTTAAAATTTTTAATTACAGAAAGATCTTTTTGTAAAATATGAAACGTAAGTTATTTATTCAGATGAGGTTAACCTGGAAGACACATCAGCATTGGTCCAATGACTTATTTCATAGTCAGCTCATTTCAAAAGGTGCTGGCTCTGACTCCTAGGTGTTTACACACCATATCCTACTGTTGTCCCTTAGAAAATTTCAAAGGTTGACTTCTGGGAGACTAGTACCAAGTATTCTAATGGACAAAATATTTGTCCTATCTTTCAGACAAATCCTAAAACATAGTAACAAGGCATAGATAGATAGATAAAAACATTCTTTTTATACCTTAATTACCACAGCTGGTTTTTAAAGGGAAGATGTTACTCTTTGAAGGAGACCTTTACTAGCCATGAATAATCACTGTGTGTTTATATTTTGTAGGCACCTTTACCCCTCCTGTGTTCTGTACGCCATTCTCAGAAGTCGAGTTTAGCCAGTAATTCACCCATACTTAGACAACATGATTAGCTTTCATGATGAAAGTGTCAGCTTAGGAATTTGCTAATTGTACCTCCTCATCATTCATATGATATATATAATTCCTGCTTTCAGAATAATTATAGCCTTCTGCCTGCAGCTATAGCTCTTCGAATGGCACTAGGAAGTCAGTGTTTAGTCTCCCACCGTGAGCACCTGTAAAGGGTCCCTTTCTCAATAGCATCAAATCTCCACCCTGTGAGTCAGCCTTCTCTCAGTATTTAACAACTGGCAAGTTAACAGTAGTTGCCAAGACTCATGTTCTCTGGGTGGGTATCAGGATGATGATTTCCCCCTCACTATGGCAGAACCAAAACCAAGAAATAAAATCCCTAATACCTGGACAGCCTGGCTTGGTTTACATGCTGTATAGGATAATGAAAACACATCCCAAGACCTAACATATCTCTTTCTCAAACAAGTGAGTTTTCAACTATTTTCATTAATCATGACAAATAGGGGCATAGACAGTGTGAAATTTATTCTGAAAACTTCTAGGAGATTTGTGGGGAAAGGGGATCATAGGTTTGTCTCTTTTTTTTTTCTCATTGTTTTCCAGGACTTATATTTCATGTAATTTGGGTTTTCTAAACAAATTTAAACTGACAACAACAGGGGTAAGTGTGTAGGAAGTGTGGCTCAAGAGAATCGAGAAGTAGCAGGGAAAGTCGGTCCAAGATGAAAATTTGCCCTAGAGAAGTAAGATAAGTGATTATTCAAATGTAGATCAGAACCCTGGGTCAGGGCGCCTGGGTGGCTCAGTCGGTTAAGCGTCTGCCTTCGGCTCAGGTCATGATCCCAGGGTCCTGGGATCGAG